GGGCAAGGTGCGTTCAACCAAGTCGCACGAACAACAGGACCAAGTTATGAAAACGAGGTCAACCCACTTCTTGTGAATAGTGTTCACCTAATTTCATTTAAGGTGAAGAAGGACTGGTAGTTGAACCTTCCCACAGTGGAATGAGTAGAGTTGACGTTTCCATTCAACCGTCTTAAGGCTCAAGCACTTATTTGTCTCTGCCTTTCCTCCCGTCCGCCCCCCCCAAAACCTCCACATCAACCCTCAAGACGTAGTTTATTCGGGCATGAGGTCTGTTGGAGCCCTGGACACCCTCTTTGGCCAGGCCACTCAGGGCTTGGACACCAACCTCGTCGCAGCCGCCGCTCTTTCGGCCGTGGCCGCTGGAGATGCGCTCTACCTGCCCGTCGGGGCCTCACCTAACGCCCTGCTGGCGCAGACGCCTCAGCCTCTCCATCATCACCACCAGCACTACCATCACCATCACCACCAGCAACATCAACACCACCAGCAGCAACAGCAGCAGCAACAACACCAACACCAAATAAACACGGCCAGTCAACAACATCATCTGAACAATATATATGGAGGCGTGAGTTATGCTTTTTTTGCTGTTGAAAACAGTTTTTTTTCAGGGACTTCTGGCACTCTAGGATCGTGGAGACTGATTAGTTTCGACAGATTTTTGTATTCGACTTATCTCGACTCTGTCTGCGATACGTTGGGACGAAGGCATGACTGTGGCATCTCAAATGGCTGCTCTCAGGCCAGCTAAACCACGCAACCGTGTTACACCCTACGACTTGTCTCGAAAGTCATGCCTTTTTTGCAATACAACGGGACAATTAGTATGTCTGGAATAAGTTGATAATTACATTTTCCCACAATTGGATTAGTAGGCCTCACTTTGATACCGAAACTGCAGTTCATTCATGATGAGGATAGGCTTTGTGAGCCAAGAGGAAGTAAACTTAAATGAAGGCAAAAGGTCTACTCCTATGATTGTGGAAAATTCAAATCTCCGTCCTTCATCACCTTATGCCAACTAATATGAATACAGCTTTTCTTCAAGAGCTACTAGTAACTATGACACTTACTTAATAAGAATATAAGTAACGTAGTTAAATATAAAAGAAAGTACAATACTATGGTAGAGGAAAGGTGTGGCTTGAATTGTAGTTCCGTTTTGTTTTTAATTTTGACGGAAAATGTGCTATCTCACCCAGGCTCGACTGGACTATCTTTTCGACCTCGCGGCAGTCTCTGAAGCACTCACAAAAAGATTTAATACCTGGTCGTGAGTACTCTAGCGACACGCTGCCACTTTACTACCCAGCCAAGGTCCACCACTCTTGTTGTGGAAAGACTCAGCCATAAGTCCTTAAGTGATTCCAACCAAATTAGGCTGACTATGTTCTTATTCTTGAATTAATGATAGTCTCGAAACCGACTTATATCGAAGCTAAGTAACATCATCGATTGCAGTGGAAAATAGATTATTGCGTTATTGATACCACCACTATAATTGCGAGATAGGACTAGTCTAGTTTGCCGTGAATACCATATTTGCTCTGTGATCCATGGACAACCATGGCTATGTAGTGGGTTTATAATGTCTCCACGATAGTTACGACCGTGTATCAAACTCGTTTGGGGTGCTGATGTGAAGTTGAAACTCCGGTCAATTACAGCTTTGATGAGATACACTTTTTAAAGTCAAGGCTAAGTCAAATTAATTGACATTCTGAGGCCTTTTCAACGTATTGGGGAAGAACTAAAACTAACAGTCCTTTATTGTTGAGCTTACTTCCATTTCGAGTGAAAGTGTTTGGTGAAGAGATTCAAAGGTAGATTCCACCAGAAGACGACGGCGGATTCCTCTTGACAAGCTGTCGATTGGCTTTACTGAAAGATTCATGCTGACGCTGTTTTCGAGTTAATCTCCTTCGATTCCGGTAAAAAGGTGCTAAGCTTTCATCCATCATATGACGAACATCACCAGATCAAGGTATCATCATCACAACCAAATTCAAGCTAACAAGTCAAGAAAACTTACCGACAAATCCCTAAAAACCTGTACCACGTACATGGTCCGAATATAAAAAATATCACGCCTCCTTTTTGCAGGCGGCTCAACTCCCTTTCTATCCTTCCGTCAAGTAATTAGGCACAAGTAATTGTTACTTATCTTCTTACCAGTATTTCCTATCCAGATTATTTCGATGGCTCCTCTAATTTTACGTTTAGTCGCAAAACGAGAAGTTTGATACCATCCAATATCATGTCCGGTATCTGCCCTGTGCTCAGCCATATCTGATTTCTGAACACAACAGTCTTTGAGGCGCTTTTGTGCTCAGCCACACTTTGTCGACAAGTCTTTCCAACATAAAAGCGATCACATGAACACATTATTTTGTAGCAACCCAATCTGGATAATGGGTCAACTTTCTCTCTAAAAATGAGCATAAATGAAGATAGGGTCGTAGTTTTCCTGAAGACCCTTTTTATTCCCTACTTCCTTACTTGTTCACCTTTCCTTTGATAGACAATGCACGAAGGTAAAGACAAAACATGAAAATTTTTCGAAAATCCCCTGGAGACAGGACCCTGGCCAAATCACGCCGGAGCATTGACCTAGTATCTATAAACTTAAACAACTTATACCGTTCAGTATCATATTCCTCACTTAATTTCTGAATAGAAGCCTGGTGGAGATATTCATTTCCTTTTTCCGAGTGGTAGGGTCTCTTAAGGTCACAGAACTTAGGAGCGATACCATAACGTTTACAACAGTTTAAAAAAATGAAAGATGGGAAGACTGACTTACAATTGTCTTCTCTGTCCGGCTGTATTCAGTGCACTGTTTGGCAATTTTATTAACATAGTTTAAT